TGCCTTGAAAAGAAAGAGAATGACTAAGGAAAAGTGCCAGTTGTTGCTCTGCCTGTAAGTCTGCACAGGGGGAACCGAAATGGACTTTGCCAGGAGATACCAATGTCCAGCAGTGTCATAGAACTGATGCTTCTCAGACCCTGTGACCCTTAATCAGGTCCAGGACAGGAGCAAATGGTAGTTGGACAGACTCAAAAGCTTACATCTGGTATATCCTTTACCTGTCCTTCTTCAGCATGTTACTGTTCAACTCACGGAACACGGTCATCTTCCAGTTCTTTGTATCAGGATGATTCTTCAGACCTGGCCTGAATGTGCTTTGGCCAGAATACTCCCTTTGGCCTGTTCATCCCCACCTCTGTGCTATCCTTGTACCAGCAGGAAAGAAATGCTAGGGGATGGCTAAAAATAACCAGATGCAGAAGGGGGTTTTGGTTTCAGCATTGAGGCCACATGTCTTGATGTTGTATGTCTGAAATGATCTCTCACTGGCTGAAGCTGAAAGGCCCTTCTCTTGCCTGTCTCTGAGTGATTCTAGTGCCTGTCTGATGGAATGGTAGATTCCTTAGAGTTGCCAAGAAATTAACCTAGCAAAACCAAACCAAAAAGTAGTTTTTAATTTGGTTTCTGAATTGAATTTAATTGAATTTACCTGATTTTCAGGCGTATAGTCACCAGAGCCAGCTCAATGGAGAAGGCAAGTTATACATCAAAGAATCATAGAATGGTTTGGGTTGGAAAGGATCTTAAAGATCATTTTGTTCCAAGGCCCCCTGTGTGGGCAGGGACACCTCCCACTAGATCAGGTTGCTCAAAGCCCCATCCAGCCTGGCTTTGAAAACTTCCAGGGATAAGACACAACCTCCCTGGGCAACCTATTCTAGTGTCTCGCTCACTGTGAGAGTAACAGTAGTGGGATGGCCACTTCTAATAGCTGTGAAACATTCACTTCAGTCTGATATGATATATATCCTTGGCTCTGTTTCTCTCTTCTCCATCCCCAAATTTTTCTTCTCACATATTCTTCTCCCATTGTCTGCTCTGAGTTGTTCTGAGTTCTGGTTACTTCCTCACTTTCCTATTGCTCTACTGTTGCTATATGCATTTATTTTCCTCACCTTGTTGATTTCAGTTTCGTGACACTCTGAGCTCTGCTTTGTTCCTCCTTTGATCTATATCTTTCACTTTTCCATGGCTTTCAAGGAATTTCATTCACAGTCTTCTTAGATCTTGACCTCCTTCCTTAGCCTTTTCTTTCTTTGTTCCCAGAATCTATGTTTAGCAATTCCCATTACTTTCTCTCCACGCTTTCCTTTGGCTCCCCACTGCACCCCAATCAGTATTCTTGCCTGGGTTAACTGTTAGTCTCAGTACCATGACCATATTAATCTTTAATCCCCATTCTCCCAAGTCTCTTTCTCCTCCACTTCTTTCACCATGTCCAAGGACTTCTCCTTTCCCAGACTTTAAATGCCATTTTCCCTTAATGAACAAATCTCTGTCTCTTACTTTGTTTCTAGTTGTCCTGCTTAGGCTGCATTTCCATGAACAAACAGTTCTTTCATGGGAGTGCTGGGTTTTGCACTGTTATTTTTATGCTTCTTAAGCTCCCTGATACAATTCTTTGCATAGCCCATGCAAACAGTTGTGCCAGCATAAAGGAGAGGAATCCGGATGTAATTTATATATGTTACCCCTGATGTTGGACAACATGTCATTTGGCCCAGTTTTCCTCCTTGAACAGTTTTGAGTTTACTAGTTCTTTCTGGCTTGCAGAATTCTCCCAGTTTTCCCTTCCTCCGTAGCATCAGACTCATCAGGCTGCAGCTCAGTTTACACCTTTCACTCCAAGTCCTTTCTCTTGCCTGTCTGCATTCAGAGCAAACGGAGCTCTACTTTCATGGTATAAGGGCAACAGGTTGTGCTTTCTGTGCTTTTGTCTGGTTTTTAAGTGTTTTTTATCCAGTCGTGTTTCCTGTACCAAAATGGAAGACTTCCTAATAGCATCCTATCCTATTTATCATTCATCTGTTGCTTCCCTCTCATCTTGAGCTTATGTTGCTTTTATAGGCTGAGGTACTGTGGTTGGGGTTTTTTTTCCTTCTTAGTGCTGAAATGGATTTTTATGTACTGCTTAAAGCATTTACCATTAAAACAGAAGACAAAATAAGTGGCAGATCTGTCTGGATGCTTTGTGACTAGCAGACTGTCCTTGTTCAGTGTCTTGAACTAAAGTCAAGTGAAAGCTTTTTGAAGCTCACTTGAAGGACTCAATTTCTGCCTAGCCTTTGTGAGCTAACAATGGAACCATAATCTGTATCAGGTTCTATTTTGCACCATCAGAAAGTCATTCTTTAACTGGAGATGTAATTTCCTGGTACCCTTCATTTATGTGGTTTTATTGCACCTCATCTTTTCATCTAACCCTTGACTATTCATAAAGCTAACAATGCCTTTTCCCACCAAAACATCTTTCTGTGCTGCCAGTCTTGGACTCAGTGCTTGAAATACTAAAAGGAGGAATGGTGCCTGTGTTTCAGGATTTAGGCTAAATCAGAGTAGGATCAAATCTCTGTTATATCAGATGGATGTTTGTGCTATGTGTGTAGCAACTGGTGCTGACCCTGCATGCACTGCCCTGGCTCTGGATAGGCCTCTTACCTTGGGACCATTGCTGGTCTTTGCTTACTCCAGCTGGCTCTGTGTTGACTGAGCCCATGAGGGTATCTATGTTAAGTGTCTCATTTGGGGGGCATTTGTCGGTAGGATCAGTGGCTAAGCTACTTCTGGAGCCAGTGTACATGGCACTATATCCAAGTAAGAACTGTGCCTGCTGGTGGGGACAGTGCTGGGATCAGCTCAGGCCTGGTAGCAGTCTTAGCATCTGAGTTGTTCCTCTGCTGGGATATCCCTGCCTCCTTATTTCTCCAGAAGGTGAAGGGTTGGCTGGAGCATGAGAGCTCCACCCACTTCCCTTCTGACAGCAATGGTTCTTTGAAGCCCGAATGCCTTAGTCATCCCTCTTGCAGCAGAGTGCTTAAGTCTGTGCCTGCTGTTCACACTTAGCTGAACTGGGAGTAACCTTAATGGCTAAACCATTGCTAAAGCAGGCTGGCAATTAAATTCCACTAATCTATGGTCTCCCATTCTGTGTATGTACAAACAATGTGGTTCCTCACTAGTAAGCTTTATTAAGGTGATCATTTCTTTTAAATATACTAGTTTATACCATATTCATTGAAAATCGGTTCTTAGATAAAACACAGCTTTCTAGTCTTGTTCCAGAAGACACTCATGTAGAGTCACAGAGTAGTCAGGGTTGGAAGGGACCTCTGAAAATCATCTAGTGCAACCCCCCCTACTAGAGCAGGATCCCCTACAGCAGATCACACAGAAATGGGTTTTGAATGTCTCCAGAGAAGGAGGCTCCACAGCATATCTGGGCAGCCTGTTCCAGTGCTCTGTTACTCTCACAGTAACAAAGCTTTTCCTTGTGTTTAACTTGAACCTCCTGTGCTCCAGCTTGTACCCATAAGAGTGTATTAATGGATTCGTAATGTACTAATGTAATTCAGAGGGGGTTATTCAATGAAATACAGTGCTGAAAAAGTAACTTCTAGAAGTCTAAAGAAAGCTTCTCAAAGTGTTAGACGGATCAATGATTGAATAAACATAATTCCAGATAGATGTGTTTTTTGTAAAGAGCAAGATACATCATACTTATTTGAAATGTTTAATAAATATCCCAAATAAACCTGGATGTTCAGTTGCAGGACCAGCACTGCCTCCAGGCTATAAAAGCAGCTGTAGCTCAGAAACTCCTGACAGTGATGAAGACTCAGAATCTCCTCCTCTGCCCAGAGATGCAAACAGAGATTCTGAAGAGGAGACAGAAGGAGATCCAGCATCCAAGTAAGCATGTTCTTAGGTTATTTGTATACCTATGTTGTATTGCAAATAAAATGTGTCTCCATAAATTACAGGAAAAGGGCAGTGTGTTGTACAAATAAAAAGGTAAACCCTGTACCTCAGTAAAACTTGCTAGCACGTTCTGCAGGTTCTTTGTGGTCTTGAATGGTCAGCTGATCTATTTTAACACCCTACGGTGGGATTAAGTTGTTTAGGGCAATCACATCTCCATATTTACATGTTTTATGTTAATTTTGCCATTACAATTGTTTAGCAAATAACAGGAGTTTGCACATGGTAAGGTTCATTATTTAGAATTGCTGTGTTAAGAACTTGTGTGTGTATATGCTGGGCCTTGGGAGGGCATTATGCCATCTTAATGAGTGTGGGAGAAGTTATTACTTGCTTTTTTCTTGTTATTTTATTCAACAGTTTTTCATTTAGTTCATTAGAATTGAACTGGGAAAAAAACTAGTCAAAATGCAGACAGTGTGTAAAAATGGAGAAAGAAGTGAGCTGAATTTTAAATTAGTTTGTGACTAGAAAACATTAATGGTATTTCAGCATTATGCTACTCTTCTTTCTACAGCAAAAGCATTCTCAGTGGTTTTTTTTAAATGTCAGAGCATTTCTGGAGTGAAGCTTATGCTCCCAATTTTTTAATTGCTTCATATTATTTTGGATCCTTTTGCACTGTTTCCTTGGTTACAGCAGGATATTTAGTACATAAGACTGTCTGAAATAATTTTGTATTTTTTTTCCTTTTTAAAATGTAGATAATTGCTATGCATGTCAAGGTGATTATTAAGTGCAGTCTTTGTTTTTGCAGAAAGCCAAAAAGAATTCAGGAAGATGATGATGATGATGATGGCTTTTTTGGGCCTGCTCTTCCTCCTGGATTTAAAAAACAGGATGATTCTCCAGAGAGGTAATGAAAATGGAATTATATTCAGACTCTTTTTCTTAAAACACAGTTATTTTAGATAACATATTTTATGGCACTAATACAGAAAACTTCAGTTGTCCTCTTCAGATTGAGACTATTAGAATTCCTTCCTCCAGATCCTGAGAAAATGAACAGCATTCCCTGGAAACAGAGTGCTCGGCCCTGCTAGTCCTGGTTGGAAGGTTGGAGAGAAAAAATCAAAATGTGAATTATCTGAGTTATATTTTGGATGTCAAATTTCTTCCGTTTGTTATGATAGGTCTCAGATTAGTGTAGAAAAAACATATTACAAGGACCCATAGTACTGTACATCATTCTGGGCTGTCAGGGGAGTAGGCCAGTTAATTTTTTTGTGGTGCAATACAACGCAGATTATTGGAGCTGTCGTTTGCTAATGCACCAGGGAATGTTGTTTATGTGTCTTCTGGTAGAGAACTAATCTCAACAGTGTAGGTTTCTAGAAAGCAAACTGTCAGCTCTAAGCAAGTAAGCATTATTTATAGCCTTTATCAGGAAGCTCTCCATTTGATGGCATGCAATTATAAAATAGCTCATGAAAAAAAAACCCTGGATTGTCTATCTAGAACTTAACTATATATCACAGCTTTCTAGTATTTACATCAGTCTGTGCACTTTCTTCTATAATTTAAAATTGTACTTTGTAGTGCAATAGGTACTTCCAAGGAGATGCTTATAGATGAAAGGTACAAGAGAGTCCCTTGATCATTGCTACCTTCCTCAGAGCCACAGGGAGCTGGTAGATAAAATGAATCAATCTCTACCTGTCAGGTACGAGTTTTCAGTCCCAGCAAAGTGACTCAAGTTGTCAGGCTGTGTATGTAGTGTACCATCTTGAAGGAAATTTCAAAGCTGAATTTTCTTTTTTAGCGTCGATAAATTGTTATGATGCTTGGAAGCAGTGAGGAAAACAAGACTTCATGTAACTAAGGTTACTTGGAAGTATCCTTTTCGTATCTGTTTGCTTACACTTCGCTGTAATCGACAAAAACTTTTGTGATTGTGGGTGCAGTGCCTGGTGGGCTCATTTGGTTGTTTGATTATTCCAAGAGTAATATTTTTTTTCTTTCTCTTGCATTCCTTATGCACAATGAGTAATTTTAATTTTAAAATTTAGGAAGTCACTAAAAATAACGTGATCTCTAATAAAGCAAGTAAACGCTTGTGGCTTTAATATTAGCAAACCCAGCTTTCTTGCTTCCTTGATTTTTGACCTGAATACTCTTAGAGTAAAATGTTATGTTGAAGTGTGCAAAGGAAAAGAGGAAAAAAAGAGGCAGCTTCTAGTTCAAAGGTTAGAGAGATGAGCAGTAAGACAGGTGGTTACCTATCATGTAGTCTTAGTCTTTTGTGCATTCGATCACCTTCTATTTCTACTTAGAAGCTTATTTCCAAAATGCTGGATAACTTGCATTTATATTCAGAGAGCAAGAGTCTGCTCTGTGTCTGGGAGTATGAGAGATTAAAGCAATAAAAGACACTTGCTAGTTGGGTTGTTTTCTTTCTTCTAGCTCGCCATACAACTGCTCCTAGGACACACTGAGAAAGCAGATTGAGCAGAGCTGTTTTGCACCCAGCCTGAATCGCTGAATAGGTGGGAAAGGTGTGAGGAGTGGGAAGAGCCTTGCCTGTCTTCCACCCCCGCACACCTGGCAGTCTGGTGGTGCTGCCGCCCTGAGGCGTGCGAGCTGCGCAGGGCGTAGACACAAAGCTGTCAGCTGCCTTCTCACTGCATTGCCCCTCAGCTGCCTCCTCACTGCATTGCCCCTGGCCTTGAGCAGATTGCCAGCTGACGATCTAGCCATGAATAATTGAAACAAACACAGGCTATCTGTTTCAATGTATGGACATACTGTTTGTTAGCTCTGTGTGACATTCTCATTCTTTGAGAAAAGCTTTTGTTCTGCTACATCTTTTCCAGACTTGTCAAAGCAACATGTTCATGATTAGGAACAGCTCATGTGGTAATTTAGAGCTTGTTAAAAATTGTTTTAATCATTCCAGCATAAAATATATATATGAACAGATTTCCTTCAACTTTGGAAAGGATATTGCTGTTGCAGGACTCATAAATATTCCCAGAGTATTCACACATGAAGCTAAAAAGTGAAGATTGTCTTAAAAAAAATTGTTATACATGAGAAGAATGCCAAAATGCCCACCTGGAAACACATGTTAGCAAGGACTCCAGGTCCAACAACTGGAAAGCATTCTTTGCCATATAAGAAATCCAGTATTTCTTAAAGGAAAGCTTAATTCATCCTTTTTTGGGATTGCTGGGTTTTTTCATGTGTATAGTTAGGTACCAAACCTAGCCAACAGCAGCAAAACATGTTTTAACAGAATTTTATTTAGATTCACTTCACCTGTTCAGAGAGCCCTTGGACATCCAGGAAACTGTCAAGAATCATGTCTGCTGTGGAAAGACCTGAGCAACAGGGTTATTCATGTGGAAAAAAAAAATACATAGATATGGAAAGTGTGGAAAGGATGAATATGGGAGCCATTCTTCTCTCCCTTGAAAGAGCCTTTGAGTTGTGACAGAAGCAAAGAGGAGTATCTGAGATCTTCTCTTTTTCACAAATTGCACGGATACAGCCCACACCATAGGTGTTGTTATATATTTTAGTAGAAAGATTTTTTTTATGCTTTGGTTTAACAGTCTCTCTGTGCAAAATAAAGGTATGTGTGTACTAAAATAAAGTTAGTTTGGCCTTATCTTTATAGGTTTAGATTCAAAATCTTTGCATCGGGTTTTTAAGATATGGTCTTAGCAAGAAAGCAGTCAAAAAGGAACAGAGTAAAATAAAAACAGTTTCTTTTTTGAAGCAGCTAAGAGGGGATGGAACTTCAAAATTAACCCAGACCTCTTTCCTGGGTTTGGAACCTCACCAGTGCCCTTGTCGTGGCCTGAATTTACATTTATTGCTCATGTCTGTCTGTGGTTGGCTTTCTGGCAGGACTTTCTGCTTTTTTATTTCCCCCCTTCAAATCCTGACAACAATCTCACTGCAGCAGGGCTGTACTGATTAGATTATGCAGGATTTAGTAGATCATAATTAACGTAATTCAATTCATGCTGTGTTTCATTTGATTGCCTAAAGCTCAGAAACTGAAGATCATCATAAACAAAGTCTCTGCTGATACATTGTGAGAATACTGAGACTTGGGTATTTCTTCAGATGACAATTATTTGGGTTTTTAATTTGCTTTTATTAGCTTTAAAGAATATGATGGTGGATTACTAAGAGGAACCTTTACATACAAGTCTTTTCAGTACTGCAGGCACAGTTTGTAGTATCCTTTGAACTTTTTTCACCATTGAAAATAGATTCTCACCTGTGTGTTCTGGAGACAATTGAATTATACTGCTTGCAGAGCTGCTTTGTAAAAACAAATCAGTGAACTTACCTGGGACAACAAAACCTTTCTTCTCTCATCCTCACTCCAAGGGAAAATAAACTTAAAATCAGAGCACTTCAGTGATTCTGCTTTTTTGAAGGGCAGTGAACCAGTAGTGCAAGGTAAACATTAACAAAATTGGCTTTATTGCTAGAGAAAAAGAGTAGCATATATTTGACCCCTTACTTTTAATTGCTCTTGAATCTGATGAAGGAAAAGAAAAAAAAATTGTTTCCTTGACTACATGCCACAACTTTCCATTTTCTTGCATCCCACCTATCCGCAGAGGTCCTCCTGGAAAACAGAGCAGCTCTTCATATTCAGTTACTTCTGTGGTGTGTGAATAGGGGGAGAACTTGGCATGGGGAGGAGTGAGAATCACATTTCTTATCAACATTAGATTTTATATTAATCTATTACACTTTTTTTTCCCTGCAGCAAACAGTGGAAAGATATCATTTAATGTACTGTCCATATTCGTTTTGCTACTACTTTTTTATTTTCCCCTCTCAACTGAAAACCAAGATTTTCTTTTTTTTTTTTTTTTCTCTGAAGGCCCATTATAGGCCCTGCATTACCACCTGGCTTTAGGAGAGCTTCACAGGACACCGGGAATAGCAGATGTTCCATAGGGCCGTCTGTTTCCTCAGAATTCCATGCCCAGGTTGGTGAAAACTTGTGTTTTAGTACAAGCTATCTGAAATACTTAAACAAGGAGAAGCCTGAAAAAAAGTCTACTAAACATCTTTTTTAGCATGACAGTGTAATTTTAGACCAGAAAATGTCTGGCATATTTTTCCTGAGTCAAATACTGAAGCATAAATAAGCCTTTGAAAGAAAAAATCTGATTTGGTTTGTTGGGATTTTGCTGTTAAGACAGAGGGTGCAGTGAACACAAGAGGTCGAGGCATCCTAACCTGCAGTCACTGTAATTCTTGCTAATGTTCTTCCATTCATTCTTTTGGTGTCATGTCCTTTGCAAGTGAACTTCTGGGCAAAGTTCAAGTTTTTAAAGACATGGAAGAAGTAATGCAACCTGTTGGAATGAAAATACTTACCTGTAATTCAAGCTTTTACTCCTTTTGCTGATGGGGAAGACAGTATTTCCCATATCTTCACCTCCTTGAAGATGTTTAATAGTGGATGCATTAAATAAGTTTATCCAAAAGAATGCAATCAAGAATGATGATACTAATTCTCACTACAATTAGTGTCACTGATTGTTCTTATCAAAAGCAAGATGATACTTGTAAATGCTAATAAGGCAGAGTAGGAAAGTGACACTGACAGGATCTTTTGCTTTGTGATTTTTGACTGTTCTCACCAGGTTAGGTAAAGCTAGGTAGAAGTCCTGTAGTCTAATCCCTAGATGCAAAATAATGCATGTGCTACTAAAGAACATTTGGGAATAATAAGATGTGTGATAGCATGCAGCTAAAAGTATGGGCAAGATTCACCTCCCTAACCATGAGCCTCTAGTACCATTCTGAGAGATCTGAATCATCTGCAGTGGGCTGGCAGGTAGGGAGCAGCTCCTTAGAGAAGTTTGCATCCTTCTTGAGCAGCACCTCTTAAGCTAGACAGGTTGTCCTCAGACATAAAAAAATGGTGCTTGATACCATTGTTTGGGCAGTTGAACTTCTGTCATGCTGTGATAAACTAAATATTCATTCCTTTTGAGACTTAACAGTTCTGTTCATTTCTAAAATACCTACTTTCTTTTTTTGACGTTTTAACTCCCAGGCCCTGTGGAACATGATAGATATGCTAGGCAGGAATGAGGCAAAAGCTGCTCCAGAACTTCACTTTTTTGTTTAGTAGTTGAAAAGTGTGTATTTCTCCAGCCTCCTACTGCGGGTGTTGTCATAACCCTTCACGAAGAAAGATTGACATTTCTAAGTTACTCATCATCTTATAAATCCAAATAACGATTAAGCAGTTTATCATAATGACAAATCTCTTGAGGCAGGGATGTCAAAACTGGTCTGCTTATATATTTTGCAAACAAAAGTCCTTTTTCTCCTAAATAGATGTTCTATCATCAGCTTTGGTACAGCTATTACAGAACTTAGCTTATTTATTTATTTACATTTGAATATTATGAGAAATTTTTGTTTATTTTGTTTAAATTCATTTAATTATTTTGTAGTCCAGTACATCTTTAGAGGCAGCTTATTCTGTGCTGACTGTTCACTTTATGCTTATTTCCTCTTTGAACTTGAGAACAGTATTTTTTCATGTTTGTTTAATCTCATTTGAGGCAGGTGGTAATGGACGAATTGAACTTAAAGACTAATGAGAAAGGGAATGAGACACTTCAGTTAAAACTCAGCATGAAATTTGTCTTTCATCTTCAACTAATTTACAATACAATTTATTATGAAGGTCTTATATCTTTGCATTTTCTCTTGTTTGTACACAGAAAGAGGGAAGTGTTTAGTAAAACTCCTTCATTTCTCAGGATGGTTATTCCTCTTCCCTACCTTCTCCTTTTAAAAAAGAGATAGAGTGCAGTCACATCATTCTCTAAACATTGAAGCAATATCACAGTGTTAGATAACGAGAGAAAACTTGATGATGTAAATATTTTTGAGAACCCACCTGAAGTACTCTGTCCAGTTCTGGAGACCCCAACACAAGAAGGACATGTTGCTGTTGGAGTGAGTCTAGTTGAGGGCCATGAAGATGATCACAAGGCTGGAGCACCTCTCCTATGAAGACAGGCTGAGAGAGTTGGGATTTTTCAGCCTTGAGAAGAGAAGACTTTATAATGAAGACCTTATAGTGGCCTTCCAGTACCTCAAGGGGCTACAGAAAAGCTGGGGAGGGTCTTTTTACAGGGGTTTGCAGTGAGAGGACAAGGGGTAATGGTTTTAAGCTGAAAGAAGAGAGATTTAGGTTAGAGATCAGGTGTAAATTCTTCAGTGTAAGGGTAGTGAGACACTGGAACAGGCTGCCCAGAGATGTTGTGGAGGCTCCATCCCTGGAGGTGTTCAAGGGCAGGTTGGCTGGGGCTCTGAGCAGCCTGTTCTAGTGGGAGGTGTCCCTGCCCATGCAGGGGAGTTGGAACTTGATTATCTTTAAGGTCCCTTTGAACCCAAACTGTTCCCCAATTCTATGAAAACTATGAGAGAAATGGGTGCTCCCTACTTGCAGTGTTAGTGTTTATAAATGACCAGCTGTTTCTCACCCTCCTCAGACTTTCAGATCCATTTCATGCAACTAATCATTCAGCCATTAAATTTGCTGAGCCTCTTCTTGCACCTTGAGGTCCACAACCATACGTGGCTGTGTCTCTTGCTACCTGAAGCTTGCCTTCTCTGCTGTTCATAGTTTGGTGACTTCTCAAGGCAGACAGGGCCAACTGTCTTGAAGCAGTGTCATTAAAGCACACCAGGTTCTGTAGCAAATGGCACACATAGGAGTAAAGTGGCTTATTTCATACCGCATGTCTTCCTTAGCCCAAATTCTTCTACAGCAGTGGGATGCCAGCTCTGAGCAGCCTGAAGTATTAAGATACCTTTTCTGTGCTCCCATTAGGTGACTCTTCTAGTGAGATTCTGTATTTTTCCTTGTATTCTCCACTAGGTCACCTCTGCCACCTTATTTTACATAGAATGCTCTTGATACTGTTTTTCCATTGCCTTTGAGCCCTTATCTTCTCTGATGGTGTTAAACTCTGGTCACAAACCAAAATATACCATAAGACCAAGACATTCCTCCCCACACTTTCTTCATCCTTTATTTGAAGCTTCTTTGCCACCGCCTTGTATTCTCAAGTAATGCTCTGTGTTTCCTAAGTATGCAGCCTTATCATCATCCTACTCCCATTGCTTTATTGCCCATGCTTCTAGCTGAATCTGTTTGCTTTCACAGATACTGGACACCTTTGCTTCCAGGGCAATGTGACATCACCATTTTCTGTCTAGTTCTGCCCCAGTCCACATCTGTACTATTTTAACTTGGAGTGACCTCTGAGCTTTCTCTATAACCCTTGGCATCCACACAGGTTCTTATTAACATCTAGTTTCAGACATTTTTTGAGCAGGTCTCCAAATAATTGCTTAGAATCCAGTGTCAAAAGAAGCAAATGACAGAAGCAAGAGATTAGACTTGCAGGTGCTGTACTCACAGGGGTGTAGTACCATGTGTGTCACTGTGCCCTAGCTTGCATCCTTTCAGAATCTGAGCTCAGGACAGATCTTGTACTGTGGAATTGTGATCCTTATTACAGAGATGCGTCCCACTGTTGCTCCTGATGGTAAAGACAGAGTATCAAAGATGTATGCTTGTGTGTTTTGAATTTACCTGTGGCCACGGAGGCTACATAAAGTAGCAGGACTTTGTGTATTGCTACTGTGTTTACCAGCAGTTCTGCCTCAGGCAAGGGGGGATGCTTTTGGAAACATGGAGGCTAAGTATCCATGTTCAAGTGCTAGAATGGGTCTAATCTGGAGTTGTAATCCAGGTTTTTGCTGTCTGACTGGCAGATGGGTTATTGTTAAGGTTTATATGCTCTTCTAGACAAAATCATTTAATGCTATGAAGCTGAAGTGTTTCTTAACGGTCTTGGCACTATGGTTGAGATAAATGTTTTATTTTTGAAAGGGGACAGATAGTAGTGAGGAAGAAGAAAACCTTATAGGCCCAATGCCTGCAAAAGGACCAGTGGAATCTGATGTGACTGAAGAATTTGAACGCAGAGCTCAGAGAATGAAGGAAAAACTTACTTCAGCAGACAGCGTAAGTTGGGTTTCTTCATTTCAAACATTTAGTTGCTGGAGTGTATTAGTGGGTTTTTCTTTGCCTAGTTCTATGTGAACCCAGTTGCAGTTCTGCTTGGGATGCTAACTATTTGCATTTGGAAAGACAAAGTAAAATCCGTTCTATCTGCTGGAAACTAAAAGATTCAAATAGTAATTTTTGGATATCTACATTGTTGTATTTTTTTACTCTTCCCTGCCTCCCACCCCCATCCCCGTATTTCTTCTGTAAAGGATGAATCTAAGCAAGTTACCAGGGAATCATGGATGACAGAGCTTCCACCTGAATTGAAGAGCTTTGGATTTGGCCCAAGAACATTCAAGAGAAGAGCTGATGACAAGTCAGGTGATAGATCTATTTGGACAGATACTCCATCTGACAGAGAGAGAAAAGCCAAGGTGAGCATTTATTTATTCATATACACCTGCAGGCAGTATGTATGTTGTTGATTTTCTGTAAAAACAAAGTGGGTACCCTGAGCTGTTCAATTAAATCTTTCTTTCCCGATTTTTCTTTGTTATCAGAATTTACTAATTCAGGCTTAAAAGCAAAGGCAAGGAAATAACGATTTTAAGTAACATTGATACTCATTTATTCCCTCTCCTTTCTGCAGCAGTCAGGTGTTCTGTATCACCTCATTGAATTTCCAATTACAGTGTGTCCAGTTTTTGATAGCCTCTATTGTGGCCTCTACTTTTCAGATTATATTAATGTAAATATAGATTTCCTTGCTCTTTACTTCAGACATTCTGATTACTATAGTGTATTATTTGCTTCTACTCATCAGGAAAGAGAAGAGGCAAAAAAGTCAACCAGTAAGGATAATGAAGAAATTGGCCTATCTAGGAGAGACAAGAGGCTCATTGATCAGGTGACTTCATACAATGTAAGTTTAATATCAAAATACTTCCTCTCCTGCATTCCCTTCAATTTTTCACTCTTTTCTTCTGTTTCTCATTTCTAGTGCTGCTGGTTTCCATGGTGATGCTGCTACAGTTTTCCCTTTTAGTGCTCAAACCTACTGTTGTTTAAGTCATTAGAACATTTGCCATTGACTTCAACAAGAGCAGGACTGAGTCCTTGAGCTGGTGCTGCAAACAGTGTGACAGAATTGGGCTGTATATATGTTGTCTCAGTTTTAGGTGGTTTTCCTTAAACCACCCTTACATCAGGATGTGGTTGCTAGGAATAGACAACCCAATTAAAACATTAGATTGCTTCTCCAAATTACCTACATCCCAAGAATAAATCAGTAGTAAAGGCTTAACTTTTAGGTCTAAATATGCATTAACCCAAAAGAAGCTTGATGAGCTAAGTAGATCAATGTGAATTGCATTAATTACACAGTGTAATTAATTACATTAACTGCTCATTACAACAGCATTATTACATTAAGTTTTCCTCAATCTCTGCAGAAGCAGATAACTTTGACAGATGTTGATTACTAGAAATCTGAACATGTCTAATTCCCTCTCACTTTTCTGTCTACCAGCCCTGTCCACCAGCTTGTATGAACTGCTGCCTGCCTTACAGCTATTCATTCCACTTCTTCCCTGATTTAAGGCCTGAAGTCTTGTGGAAGGCAGCCTGGTCTCTTGAGAGTATCATTAACTTGGCAATCACAGCCTTGGCTTATGTTACATGATTTAAGTTTATCTGGCACTTTTAATAATTTATTTGTAGTTCATTAAATCACATGTCCCTCTTGGCTTAGAGGCTTGCATATCTAGATCTATTAGCACACTGTCTTAAACTCCTTCTGTATTGTCTGTTTCTACTCATTATGAATGTAGTAGAATAATTTTCATGTAAAACTACAGGTTTTGCTCTGTAGCATTGCCAGACTAAAATCTACTTAGGCCTTTTAATGTTTATGAAGTTGAGAGTTCTCTCAAAACAAATAGTAAGAAGGTACCTTGTTTAAGAACAATTTTTCTTGGATTGTTTTTTTTTGTGGTTTTGGGGTTTTTTTTTTCAAAATCCACTCTTCCCTGATTTTCAGGGGGTTGATTTGTTGTTTGGTTGGTTTTTTTTGTTTTAAAGTTTTTTCTTCTATTCTTTCCTGTTTCTTTCTCCTGTGACCTTTACCAAGGATACTTCCATAGAACAGGAGCTTTAATTCTTAAAATAGTTTCTGACAGTTAATTCTCTCAGTGCTGATGCATTCTCTGGTGTAATTCTGCCAACACATGCACTCACACCATAAATAACTATTGTCCATTTTCTGTTTGCCATGAGAATAATTTTTTATGTCATGTATGAAGGATTATTTGATTTTATGATGAAGTCATTGTTAGCATAGGTAATGAAGGGAAATGAAACCTGAGAACAGAGGTCTTGTGTACAGGCACAAGCTGGAACATAGGAAGTTCCATTTAATTATAAGGAGAAATTTCTTTATGGTGAGGGTGGCAGAGCTCTGGAACAGGCTGCCCAGGGAGGCTGTGGAGTCTCCTTCTCTGGAGATATTCAAAACTCAACTGGATGCAGTCCTGAGTAATGTATTCTAGGGGATCCTGGTTTAGCAAGGGAGCTGGACTACATGATCTCTAGAGGTCCCTTCCAACTCTGACAATTCCGTGATTCTGTGTTTCTAGACATAAGAAAGCAGCTCCTCATCTTTTGCTCTTTCTGATGGGAGAATTGGTTTGGTCTGGTCTTTCGGATGCTTTGTAATCATCTGAGAGCCTGAGAAACTGACTGCTTAAGGAAACACGAATACACTTCCCCTGAACAAAGGATGTGCCATATAGTCTTGTGAGAACTAATCCTGCTCCTGTGTGAAATTTGGCAAAAGCTTTACATGGTATTAAGGCTGGCTCTTGGTCTTTAATACACACAACTTAAGTCCTTGACTTGGCAAAACAACATGTTTTAGCTTAAGCCTCTGACTTTGTTCTGTGGGCTTGCAACAGATGATTCAAATACTGAAAAGTTACTTATTAAAAACACAGCAGTGCATGAAAGTAAGATGGAAAGGGTATCTGGCTTGTTCCTGCCCCTAGCAGTGACCAAAACCAGATGCTTGGGGGAAGTGTGCAAGAAACTGGGCTGTACTTTGAGATCTTGCTCTTGACATATTGTCATTTGCTGATAATGGCAGGGCAACTCTTGTATTTTCTTTTGCTTTTCTTTTTTATAAATTATCTCCACTGTCTGTGGAGAGGCAAAAACTTTCCAGGTATCTGTCAGTGAATTACTGGTATTTTACCTGGGCTTTCTGTTCTGTGTTTGCTAAATGTATCATTCTGTTTTCCAGATACTAAGCTGTCTTATTTTTCTGGAATTTCTAGTTGTCCTAATTCCATTTGGATTTTCTGTACATTGTTAGTATTTCATAATGCTTTGTTTCCTCTTCCCTCTCCACACTTTTTCAGGAGTCAAAGAGGTCAGAATCTCTCATGGACATACATCAGAAAAAGCTGAAGAGCAAAGCCTCTGAAGAGAAGAACAAACCTCAGGAAAGAAGGCCATTTGATCGAGACCAGGATCTCAAGGTCAATCGATTTGATGAAGCACAAAAGAAAGCCCTTATAAGAAAATCCAGAGATCTGAATAGTAAATTTGAGCACAGTAAAGGCAATATGTTTTTATAATATAAAAGCATGAAGCTTTTTTGAAATTAAGTTGATGACACTTTGAATACTTAATTTTTAAAGTATTTTTCTGTAAATATTTGTATGCAGAATAAATATCCTGATTTTTAACTGTTTTTCCTTGTCTGTAAATACTCTGTTAGGGAGGATCACCTGTACTAAAACTAAACTGCTCAAGGAAGTCCTGGTATAAAAAAATGTAAAACTGCTACTTTAACACATTAGTGTGCATTTTTTTAAATTATAAAATAGGTATTATTTTAAGGAGCTTTAGCATTATCTTGCAATGAAGTTGGTAGTTTCTCCATGTCTTCTGCGATGGTTAAGATACTCTTGCTGAGCCTGACCTGAAGGCCACAGAAAAATCCCCTTTAGGCTTCTGGGCAGGACATTGCTTGATTGGGGTTCCTGCTGGGGAGTATAAACTCAAATGGCAGCTTTTATGTCTTCTCAGTGCTTTTCTTTCTATGATTCAGTGTCATGTACATAAATTCAAGTTTGTATATATGCAGTATAATTTCTATTCTGTAGCAAGAAGTGCTAGTGGTAGCAGGAGTAATAAAACCCCAAGATTTGCAGATTTAATTATAAAATGGTAGTATACAAGAAGAGAAAATCTAATTTCAGTTTCAATTTTCAGGGCTTATCAACAGAAAATCCTTTTTTAAGCAAATATCAAGTGGAAACCAGACTAAAAGAAAGCTTATTTTGTCAGTTAGTTTGCAGAGCATAAAAGCTCTTTGGTATCAAAAAGGAAATAATCTACATCCCTGCTTAGAGTTCTTTAGCTCTTCTGTGTGTGCAGAGCAGCTGAAGGGAGAGTTGTGTTACTTATTTAAATCAGACTTGCATTTCCATCCTGTTTTTTTCTCTACTAATGTTTGGGATCCTTTTTGAGGAGTTACTGAAAGTATCTCTCTATGAAAATGACTTTATATGCAAGACGCTGGCGTTTTGTTAGGAAGTGTGACACATTTTGCATATGAAATGCCACAGGATTCACTGTCATTTGGAAAAAGGCTCCCAAGACAGATGGTGTCTGGGTTGGTTCATGTGAACAGAGCAGTGACCTGACAAGCCACAGCAACAAATGGCCAAAATCTTGGTATTATTTTACTGCACGTGTTCATGAGCTCAAGGTGCAGCCTCTGTGTGCTGAGAAGTCTTGGAGAGTTTTCAGTGTCACAAATGAATGCTGATGTGCAATGTATTTAGATGCTGCCTTTTGTGTTGTTTTTTTTTAATAGACCATTTATTTTGCCATCTGTAAAAGCTGCTGCCTTCAGGAGGAAGAGGGACTAGTTTTGTATTGTGTTTGTTTTTTCTTTTAGTCAGCTTTTGAGTTTCTGAGCCTTTTTTGTTTTGAGGTGAGAGGAGGCTTTAAACAAGGGCTGTTTTGTTTTTCTTCCCCTTGAATAGACTTCTGTTAGTGCCTCATGCTTTTTTTTACCTCAGTGAACAATTGCCCCACTGGGTCGCTACCTTCTGAGTTGTGTCCTTCCCCATTTTGGGGAGTTCCTCTGCAGCTGGGGGGTTAAATAACACTTCTGAAGTGATTCAGGAAACGTAGATTTCTGAATTGGAATGACAGTATAAGGAATGTTTGGAGCTTTTCAGGTAACTAAAGCAATGTCAGGGTGAGCATCGTGTGACTAGCCCAGTCGTCATGGTTGACCAAAAATTATCCTCATGCCCACTTTTGGAAACGCTACTGCCTTGAGAAATCAGTCTATTATCAGGTCTTGCCTTATGCTGGAAAGGCTGATCTCATGAGCATATTGTGCAGTCCTCACTCCGTCAGATAAGTCTGTGCAGGGACAAGGGCTGCTTGTATTGAGATCTTATTGTTGTCATGTGCTTTGTTTTCGTTTTTATTCATTAGTCCCTCCTCCTCCAAATGGAGGACTGGTCATCAGACTAGTTAGTCATCAGACCTTGCAGATGGCCAGATCTTGCCCTCCAGCTGTGTCCCTGCTGTTTGCTCCCTTTCCCTTGCCCCATCATGGTCTCCTGCCCTCTCCAAGGACGTGTTTGAGTGGAGGCTCTGCAGTGTTGCTCAAGAGAAGAGCTCTTGTAATGGGAGCACAGACAATATGTCACACCTGGGATGTCAGGGTCTAATTAATGAAGCCTTGATGTGAGTTGGGGAACATGTTTTCTCTCATCTGCTTAATCTTTTTTTCTTTTTTTCCTGCTCTGAAGCAGCCTCTCCATGACTTGATGAAATCCATGTTACAGACTTGAGATAGGGGCAAAGTGGAATTGTTGAGAGTTCAAATTAAGCTTTTCATTACTTTGTGTAAATTGAATGAACTTCTGAATTACATTAATACACAAACTAATCTCCTCTTACTGATGCCAAACCATTCCCTTGAACAGTGATTAGAACAAAGCAGCAACTCTAGATTACAAGCTCTGTAAGCTTTTGTGGGAAAAGATGAGCTGTCCTCTACAATTTGGCCAAGCTGCAGAGCGTATCTGGAGAAATGTTAGTGGGTGATTTTTTCAGAATCTCATTTGAAAAAAAATAGCATGTATTTCACAGAAAATCCTCTCAATAATTTACTACGTAACATTTCTGTTAACTGGCTCCCAGTGGATTCCATTGCTCTTCATTGTTGCCAGCCTCTCTCATGGCTTATCAACTTGAGGCACTTCAGGAAACTGTTTAAAAAAAACCCACAAAACTAGGTTTTCCAGGGTGTGAAAAGTCTCATGGCGTAAATTTTAAAGCACTTGTCATTTGTGCTGGCAGAGACATCCTTTATTAATACTGGTGTTAAAAAATTCTACTTAAAGAGCTTGACAGAGCACTGGAACAGGCTGCCCAGAGAGGCTGTGGAGTCTCCTTCACTGGAAACATTCAAAACCCACCTGGACACGTTCCTGTGTGATGTGCTCTAGGTGACCCTGCTCTGGCAGGGGGGGTTGGACTAGATGATCTTTCGAGGTCCCTTCCAACCCCTAGGGTTCTATGATTCTAAGAGTAGGGTCCCCCTCTTCTGAAATGTCAAATAGATGTGGAAGACAATTAATACATAGTGCAGCTGATAAAATGAAGGATTTCATGGTAGGCAAAAGATATAGTGGATGTTTAAGACACATTTTAAGGAGTATTATGTGTTAACAACAAAAAAAAATACAAAAAATCCATTGAGTCTGCTGTGTTACAAAGAAGCAACTAAAAAGAATAAAGACATTTCAAGAAAATGTTCTGATTCCTTTGCATTTACCTTCAGGACAAAATATTGAGTTACCACAATGTTTGATTCAGAAAAATTTTGTTAGAATATGGTATAGCAATACTGTCACCTGTGAAAAATTTCTGTTCTTGAGAAAAATCTCTGCTCTTCTGGTTTAAACACCTGTTTATGGAGGGGCTTTTTTATGCTTCTGCTGTTAAAATCAATGAATGCACTGTGTGGTGGTGTTTTTTTCTGGAAGAAGTGCTTTTCCCAAATAATTAACAGCAGCAAGAATTCATTTCATTTAAGGCTCTGATGAAGCAATGTTTCTAGCACACAAACGCCACTGTCCAAATAGCTTTTTGTTCATGAAAGAAATGCTGAGATGAAGCATTGACATGTTTCTGTTCAGTAGAAAATGGGGTTTTCCATATAAAAGAAGTTTCAGAATGATCCAGAGGGATCAAGGAGACCAGGGCTACTTGTTTTGTTCTTGAAAGGTAAGATTTGTTATTTCTGTCCAGTCAATTCTCAATTTTATGTTGATGTAAGATTAATGTGCATTAAAAATCAGAATCTTTGAAAACCTTCTGTATGTGCATTGTTAATTTCAGCCACCCCACCTATGTGTACAGTATTAGTTTCTAGTTGCATGATGACATTATTCTCAAATAAAACATATTCATGTGATTTGCTGTCTCTCTGAATTATTTGCTGCCTAATTATTTGCTGGGGAAAAAAAAACCAAACAACCACTAACCAAAACCAAAAAGTTATGCACTTCCTTCCAGCCAACATCTTTAGATTCTTCTCATGTGCCCACCAATGAAGATTGTGTCTTGTTGCCTAAAGCCAGTGAGGAACACCCCAGATGTGACATTTCTGTCCTTTTCTATCAAGATGTAAAGACTGAGGTATTGCCCCTGCAGATCTGATCTTTTCACAGCAGCCACTTCTGGGCCCTCCTGCAGCAGCCATCACCCCACCTTCATTCTTTGAGGTTCAAATAGTCTGTTTTCTTGCACTGGCCTCTAAACCAGAAATAAATCCCATTGTTCTTTGAAACTGCACCCATTTTGAATCAGCATGGCAAATCAAGCCTTATTAAAAAAAAACAAACAAGTATTTCAGAGTGGGAACTTAAGATCTCTTGGACACAGAAGCACAGACTGTCACTTCAGCAGGTACAGCTGCAATCGTGCCTTCT